TATATAAAGGGACGTTGATTTGTTAAAAATAACTGAGAAAAATAGTGTAAATATTCCCATAAATAAAAATGTAATCAATATAAAAATTTGTATGCATAAATTTCTTCAAAAATATTTTTAATAGAAAAATTAATAAAAGAAAGTTGGATATATTTTTTTTTTCCATAATATAAAACTAACTTATACATATCTTACCGTAAATTTTATTTTATTTTTTCCTTTCATTTTTTTTTTCTTTTAGAAGTGTTTTTAAAAACATTTATTAAAACAAATCTTTACAATTCTAAATCACGATTCCATAACAGGCTTGTGATTATTATTATTATTATTATTAAATTTATTATTATTATTATTATTTCATAGCTGCATATATCTGTACATATGTCCTCAATTTTTATTTATTTTTTGATGATACATATGTCCTCAATTTTATTAAACAAAATACAGCCACAACCGTGATTGCAATCCTAAGTCAATAGATGTTGTAATTAACCAAAATTTCAAATGGGAAATGATGGCCAAAAAGGTTCTTTGAAGCATCGAAGTCTAAACCGTGTATGCATGCAGATGAAAATGGTTTTGTAATTAACGTTGAAAACGCATGTGCACAGTTGACAAGTTTTGCTTACTCAAGTGTTTTCTGGAGGGCAGGAAGAACAAGATGAGGAAAATTCTCAGTGCACCAAAGCTTGGAAGTGATGAAGAGTTCATCTCTAGATTTTATGATACCAAGTTGAAGTGCTTCAGCTATGGCTTCTCCAAGGGGCTGCTCCGAACCATATATTGAAGCAGTATCAAAGTGTTTATAACCAATTTTGATAGCCTCTAATATTGCCACTCTAGTGTCCGTGGAAGATGATGAAGCAGTGCCAAGTCCAATCACTGGCATGTTACAATTGTTGGAAGAGGATTGAAGAAGCACCACATGAGGGACTCTTGATGAAGACATGTTTTTTGTGTCACAACCCAACTCGTCAAGATGTGTTTAGATGAATTGGATATCTCGTGGAGGAGAAGGAACCTGATGTATGGCTTTTATAGGTATAGAATTATTTAAGGAAAATGTTTTTAGTTTCTATAAAATTATTGAAATTCATTTTTACTTTTTTTTATAAAAAAAAATTGTCTTATTTTAACATTTTAATTTTGAAAATAATTATGTACTAATTTTATATTATTTTCTAAGCATATATATATATATAATGATTTTATTGATTTTTATAATACATTAAATAACACTTAAAATAATTATAAAATATTTTTTTTCTATTATTAATGAGTATTTTCTATTAAATATAGAGATTCCTTAAGAGTTTGACACACATCAAATAAGTGAGTATCCTCTCTTAACTTAAATTTTCTGAATTTGTAAGAGTTAGAATTCAAATTTTAACCACTTAGTTAACCGACTTGAGTTTCTCACCGCCCGCACCAATTCAAGTTAGTAAACAATTATAAAACATGATTTAAATTAAGGATAAAAAAGTAGTGAATTTTAAAATTAAAGGGATTAAAATAGAAAGAAAAAAAAATTAGAAAGACTACAATTAAATTTGAAAAATTTTACAAGAACTAAAACCATAAATTACCCACTATTTAGTTAATTAGTCTGATTTTCAATTAAACCATCCTCTTTAAAATAAAGTTTAAAGACTGTCGTTTGTGCACCTTTAAATAGTTTTTATATTGTTGTTCAATTACATATATTTTTTATACACCAAAAATAGTTGTATTTTCGGAAAATAGTAGTATTTAGACTTTACCAAAAAAATAGTAGTATTTCATTGTTACCGAAAAATAAATAGTAGTATTTAGTTAAATATCTATTTTCAGTTTTGCATTAATTTCTTGTACTAGGTCCTACACTACTAATATTTAGTGAAATATTCGTGTCATTTGCACTCTTACATTTTGGGTACAGTAAAATTCCTAATAAATAATTAACAAAAATTATTTTTAAGCTTAAAATTAATTAAGATTTTAATTGAAATGTGCCTTCAATATTTTTTATTAAAAACATTATCTGATCACAATTGTCATATTTAATATTTTTAATAATTATGTTAAAATGAAGTTAAGAATTTTTTTTATTAATTTACAGTACAGTTATTTACATTAACAGTGACAATTAAACTTTAAAATTAATTCATTCTTCTTTATAACTAAATTATTTTTGGGTAATTAGTTCTTTAATTTTTCTTGTTAATTTTGTTATTTACATGTTATAGATAAAATGTACCAAAAGGAGTAATTTAAAGTGTAATTATAAAGATGAACAAGTCAACCCTCCTACTAGAGTCGTGTATGTAATTACATTGTTATTCCTTGAATAGAGTTCCGCGGTCGAAAATGACTAAAGATATTATATATTCATCGTCATCAATGACGTTTAATAAATTTCAAAATGCCTTTATCTTAATGAAAATGTTTGAACGATTCGTTCGAGTATTTGCGAAAATATTTGGCCGATACACCTAGGACGAGAAGCGATAAATGTTTGCAGATTTTATGATTGGTATTAATCATTAGTCATTCGATTATTTTTATTGATTTCTTTTTTCTAATTTTATTGCTGTTTATTGAATTTAATGTAAAGTGATTTGAAAAAAAATTATATTTTCTTTTTGCTTTTTTTTTTTCTTATTGAAATCCATAAGTGTTCCACTAAGCTAAGCATTTGTGATGCCCCGAACCTTCTTTCCTTTTCCCTCAACCTTACCATTTTCTAAACCTTTCTATTCTTACTTGCATAGGCTGTCCAATTGAAAGGTGTACCGTCTCGGCCAAATGCCAAGACGTACTCTCAGCTAAATGCCGAGACGTACTCTCAGCCTGGAAGGCAAGTGTTCTTGGGTTGGTATTAGGCCAGGCGTGAGCTGACTGCGCCGAGCGTGATTATAATTATAAATAATTTATTTAAATTGATGCTTATGCATGTTTAAAGTTGAAGTTTTAGATCATGTATGTATGATATATGATGTATGGTGAGGTATGATTCATATGTATGCTTGTGATGATACGTATGAATGGTTGAATATGAGATGACATGTGTATATGTTCATATGGGTATGTTTATTGATCATAATGGTGGTAGATTATGTATGATGTATGATGCATTATTGCATGTGATGTCTTATGACATGTGTATGATTGTTGATCATGATGGTGGGCAGACCATGTATGATGTATGATGCATGATTGCATGTGATGCCTTATGGCATGAGTCTAGCCTAGGACTTGAGGATAGGAAAAATATTTTCGAACTGGAAGAGCTAACATAGAGTCTCTTGAGAGTGGTGCTTGGATAGGCCATTGATATATGAGAGAGGTGCTTAGGGACGCCACTAGATTTGGGAGAGTGGTGCTCAGATAGGCCACTGGGTTGGGTGAGTCTCCTCTAAGTCCTTAGCTAGTGTTGGAGCGGGGTATGAGGTCGAGGGTTATTCCCTTAACCAAGTACTCGGGAAGGTGCGTGGATCCTTGCGGATAGTTAGTGGGCGAACTCCACAATTGACTTGGTTAATGCATGCCAAGGTCGTGGTAAGCCCGTACCCAGCTGTGCTATACCTGACGGTGGATCTGGACTTCCAAGTGTGTAAGTGACATCATCCGAGTAAACCCGAGTGAGGATTATATATCCTGTTTAGCTGTGACCGAGCGGGCGCATTGGGCGTGAAAACGGTTGGGTTTAGGTTGCATGTGAGTTTAGAAACTCAATTGATGCATGAATGTTGAGAATCCATAGATGGATTGAAGAAAATCTCAATTTTTGCGGTTTTGAGAAAAACGAAGATTTTGATGCATAGGTTGGATGCATGTGAGATTTAAGTTTATTTTGAGTTGTATGGATCCTATGCATTGTGTTTTGTGTTTGCATGTGGCTGGATGTGTTGTTTAGATGAGAGTTTTGAAACTCTCTGACTGGGATTAGGCTGGGAACAGGTTGAGCGCGTCAGACATGGAAGAGCTTAGAGCTCTTGGGTTGGTATTAGGCCAGGCGTGAGCTGACTGCGCCGAGCGTGATTATAATTATAAATAATTTATTTAAATTGATGCTTATGCATGTTTAAAGTTGAAGTTTTAGATCATGTATGTATGATATATGATGTATGGTGAGGTATGATTCATATGTATGCTTGTGATGATACGTATGAATGGTTGAATATGAGATGACATGTGTATATGTTCATATGGGTATGTTTATTGATCATAATGGTGGTAGATTATGTATGATGTATGATGCATTATTGCATGTGATGTCTTATGACATGTGTATGATTGTTGATCATGATGGTGGGCAGACCATGTATGATGTATGATGCATGATTGCATGTGATGCCTTATGGCATGAGTCTAGCCTAGGACTTGAGGATAGGAAAAATATTTTCGAACTGGAAGAGCTAACATAGAGTCTCTTGAGAGTGGTGCTTGGATAGGCCATTGATATATGAGAGAGGTGCTTAGGGACGCCACTAGATTTGGGAGAGTGGTGCTCAGATAGGCCACTGGGTTGGGTGAGTCTCCTCTAAGTCCTTAGCTAGTGTTGGAGCGGGGTATGAGGTCGAGGGTTATTCCCTTAACCAAGTACTCGGGAAGGTGCGTGGATCCTTGCGGATAGTCAGTGGGCGAACTCCACAATTGACTTGGTTATGCATACCAAGGTCGTGGTAAGCCCGTACTCAACTTTGCTATAGCTGACAGTGGGTCTGGACTTCCAATTGTGTAAGTGACATCATCCGAGTAAACCCGAGTGAGGATTATATCCTGTTTAGCTGTGACCGAGCGGGCGCATTGGGCGTGAAAACGGTTGGGGTGGTTTCGGTAGGATGGAATGTTACTTATACAACTCTATTGTTATGGAGATCTCCTAGGTGTATGCGTGACGACGCATTAGATGATTGATATGCATTGATATCTGTCATGAGTTGCATGTATTGCATGATTGTCATGATGATGAAGCATTTGGTGTTTGACTTCATGGTTGATGAATGGATGATTGATTTGGATGCATCTGTAGTATAGATTTTATTCTGTACTTGTATGATTGATTTTTGCACTCTAGCTTACCCTTCTGTTTCCATGTGGTGGGACTGCAATGATCATGCTTGGTATGGAAGCAGGTCAGGGATAGCTTGGAGTAGAGGTGATCGCTGCGAGACGGGGAGTTTGAGGCTCGTGTTAGAGTTATCATTTTGGGTAATGATTTTTGTCTGTGCTTGACCTGCACTAGGAAATATTTTGGGATGACTGTACATATATGGTGTTTTATTTTGTATACAAAAACTTAATTATTTTGATCCTTATATCTATGCCTGTATGATGTGTTATCTAGTTTTATATTCTCTTAGTTAACTAGTTGTAGTGCGATTCCACTAAGTGTAGAGACTATGACTGGTCGTTACAGATTTAATATTTATATTATTATTGTTTATAATGTTAACTTCGTCATAAGGTACCGATTAAGGGCATTGTAGGGGTTCTTAATACCTTCCCTACATGTAACCGACCCCCGAACCCAATTTTGGTTATCAAGGCCATTATTGGACTTTTAAAAACCTTTTCTTTTTCCAATGTTTTGAGTAAAACATTGGTGGCAACTCCATGAACCTATTTTCAAAACCATTAACTAGGGATTAGTCTGGTGTCCGGGCATTCCTTAATTGATGAGATCTTGGAAAGGATGTCTAAACCATAGGTCGTGAGATCAAAAATTTTCGAGTTGCGACAGATGGCGACTCCACTGGGGACGTTTAAAGAGGGTCAGGCCCATTTAATTGATGAAGTTAATAAAATAAAAATAATATTTTAAATATTTTTCCCCTTTACTTT